ACCTTGCTGAGCTCCTTTCTGGGTACTGGAGGCATCTTCTTCACGCATCTGGGACAGAATCCTCAATTGTGGTCCGGTTGAAAGAAAAGAAAAAGATTGAGTATTCAGCACAAATATTTTAATAGAAAATAGCAAGCTACCACAAACCACAAAGCCCAAAGCAATTTGCATTAAATAAAGTTGTTCTTTACTTAACATTGACTAGGTGATGGGTATCGGTTAAGGTTTTAACGGTACTACTACTTTTGTAGGGTCATACCACTTTAATTGGTCCCGGTCTTTTAACAGGTATTTATCGGTTCTTTTGTGAGAAAAAAATAAGGTAAAACCAACTAAACAAATTTGAACAAAAACAAAATAAATAACTCGCTACCTCTAATCATTAAACCCATGTTGTATAATGTAGTTAACGTCCGTGTGCTGCCTAGCATACATACCTGACGTGGAACGTTCACTTATGGACCGGGCACAGAGCGCTAGAAAGACAGTGGAACCGGTGCATTCTCCCTCTGGATGTGTGGAGCCACTTTTGCTAATGTTAGACAATTGCTCGGTGTTACCGCCCTGACATGGCTAAACTTCTTATTGCACTTTAGACGGTTAAATTTTAAATACACCCTCGGAGCGCATGTGTGCATGAGTGTGTGTGTGTGTGTGTGTGTGTGTGTGTGTGTGTGTGTGTGTGTGTGTGTGTGGTGTGTGTGGTGTGTGTGTGTGTGTGTGTGTCTGTGGTGTGTGTGTGTGGGTGTGTGTTGTTGGTGTTGGCTGCATTGTAAGCAGCTGCGGTGTGTGTTAAACTGCCCCGCCCCTCCCAAGCAGGCGGGGGAGGAGATCGAAAATACTAAAAATAATCATAGAAGCATTTTTGCAGTCTTATTGCATATTAAAAACGGAGTTGGCGACACTAAAAGTGCAATATAATGTTTGTGTAGCCAATAATACATATGACATATTTTTTTTACACGTCTCCAGTACCGATAAAAAAGACCGCTAACGTCAGAGCTTAACGGTACCACACAGTCTTTAATAATTCAGCCCCGGGCCCGTTTAAACACCGGGGCTCGATACCCATCCCTACATTTGACTGGAGATCTTGACATCTTTGCAAAGAACAATCCCAGAAGTGATCAAAACACATGCTATTCAACACTTTGCTACCAATATGTTGGCTATACTGTATGTTCAGTATCAAACTTTACCTTCTCCCCAGTGTTCATCCTCTTGCTGGCTGGAAAAGTCCTTCAGCTGCGAGTCACTTCCCTGATGACCAAAAAAGGATTGTTAGATTGTGCTAAGTGGTGTGTATCCACAGCTTTAAAGAGTATGAGGAATAGTATATATACTATACAGTAGGAGTAAAAGTTACTTACTGGGACACCTCAGCTATGTGTTTGTGTCTCAGGCTCACCCACAGGTCATCGTCTTCGTGCAGCAGAACCTCTTTTTCTCACGAGAAGTCTCCAATTCCACTCGTCTCATATCTGAAGAGATAGACCACACTCATTTAGAATATATCATTTAAATGTGTAGATATTCATATATTGATCGATTCTGCCTACTGCAGCTTTAACCTGTAACCTTAACCATTGTCCATCCTGCTATCCATGGGCGTAGGAAGCATCCTCAATGTGGGTGGGATAATTTGGACAGGGTGTGTGGGCGGGTGGTGGACTCAACTCTTCTAGGGGGATCGGGGGCATGCTCCCCCGGGAAGATTTTGTTTTAAATGTTGAAGTTAAAAACATCAATCTGGTGCACTTTGAGAGCAACATTAAGAGATCTATGGATACATCTCTCAATACCCATATGAAACAGAACTGGAAGCAGATTTTCTTTTTCTTTATGCTTCATATTTGACTAATCACTCCCCTTTCAAACTGTATTCTTGAGTTACTTTCCTATAGTATGAGTTGGAATTATTTGATACCTGTTATTCTCTTATTTTTTATAACTATAAAAGTCTGACAGGAGAGCTCTCTCCCTCCAGTTTAATAACAGCGCCTTATATCCGGGTGCTAGTGGAGCACGCTCGTGAACTGTTAGCGTCGGAGCCTCGCAGCGGGGAAACTGTGGCGCGCATCATTTTACAACTAAAGACAGAGCTACACAAAAAAGGCAGCATGTGTACGGCGGCTCTGAGAATCTGCCTTGGTACAAAGTAGCAGTGAAAACATGGTACGGAGTTTCATTGATTTGGGCATTCTCACAATAAGCAAGTGGAATGGATTTGATAGTGAAGCACTGACACAGCGCTCTACAGAGAGCGGCGAGTGGATAGACCGATTCACGGACTTTCCACATGGTAAAAGTGGGGGGGTCTAAACTAATCGTTTTAAAAGGTGGGGGGGACTTGTCCCACCCTCATATAATGGCTGCGACGCCCATGCTGCTATCATGTCCTTAGAGGAAAACAATGTCCTATACATGTCATAAGATGATACTATTATTCCTAAACATAACTACACATATTCATTTTCAATATTGTAATCCTTTTAACCTCATTAATGCCACTGCTGTTGTGGCAGTCTGTATTTTGGCTTCACAGTTTATGATAGACTTTTTAAAGAAGATGAGGTGGTGAATAAACTCAGACCCTTGCCAAAGTGTATGCTATGTATAGTAATAGTTTCATACTTGTAGACGTCGTTCTCGATGGGCAGCAGGTCGTAGCCCATGGCCTGGAAGGTGAGCTCGTGCAGGACTGGAGAGACGGGGTCGAACGCCCGGTCCAGGATGATCAGCTGTGAGCGGGCCTTATCTGGACCCTATACAGACACAGACACAACCATACAGGGATGAAAGGAGTGGTAACTGTGTGACTTCCTGGATACATCTTTTTGCAACAACAATATGATAATCATTGAGCATTGAAGTGACTGTATTTAAGTAGAACGGGGTAAAAAATGAATTCCTCTAAGCTCACCTCTCCCATGGTGGGGTCATCAGCCTTGTAGGCGTCCAGTTTGTCCTGAACCAGCTGGGCCAGGGTGGCATTGTCCTTGTACTCTCTGACAGGAGGACACACAGATAGAGGGATGGTCAGCATTTAAGTGATAGACAGACAGGATACCCCTCTATTTCTCCAAAGGACATTGAGGAGACCAGCTTAAAAAGTCCCCTTAACTCACTTCTGTAAAGGTGATACATGGTAATGATTCCTTACTTTTGAGTGAGGTTTTAAAATGTAGTCTCAGTTTTAAAATGTAGTCTCAGTTTAAAAAAAATTCACTGATCACAACTTTTTAAATACAGGCTGATATCCTCAATGTCATGTAAACGTTATCTGTCAAAATGAGCTATCTTTCCAACCACTAAAAGGACGTCTTTAGTTTTGAGCGCTTCCTGTACCCACAGCTGCCCCTACACAGCGCCCCCTGCTGCTCACCCTCGGTATCTGACGGCAGGGTACTCCTTCAGGGTGGCGCAGAGCGTGGCTAGCTGCTCCGCCAGCCTCTCCATCACCGGGTTCTTCAGCTGGGTCTTATGGGGGCTGTAGAAACTGTGGAAGGCGTCTGCATTGTCCAGAGAGTACACCTGCACACACAAACATGGACGCAATTTAGACGACTGCCTCCCTTTTTCATTGATTTGAGATTATTTTACATTTTTCTGTTTTGGTGTTCTGTGCACCATGCTGGTCAGGAACAGATTTCAGGAAGTATTATGATGTGAAAGCTAATTTGATCATGACAAAAGACTAGCATGGAGAATGGGAACTCCACTCATTGTGGAAACACAGTGTTTCACATGTAACCTTGTAGACCAGCTGGAAGTGTGATAATATCAAACATGGCGACGTTACATAAAATGTTATTTTCTGTTCTCTCTTTGTGTTGTTGTTTATCCTTTTCACCTTAACTCCCCCTTGTGTCTCTTCTCCTTTTTCATTATCTTTTTCCCATTCTGATTTCCTCTTTCTCACCGTTTCTTTCCTCTCCTATCCTGACATGTCCTCCCCTCTATTCCTTTCACCTTTAATGTCCTTGCTTTCTTATGTATCCTTCTCACTTCCCTCTTATCTAATATCCTCTCTTCTCTTGTTTTCATTTCATTGTTCCTCTCGCCTCTCTTCGTCTTTCTGCGTCTTCTCACCTTTTCTACTCTCTATGTCATTTGTTAATTTCCTTTCCTCTCCTCTCCTGCATCACTCACTACCACTCCCTCCTCCCACCCCATCTGTCTTCAGTCACATGATCTCACTCCTGCAGTCTCTATGTTAGCCCAGCTCCCATTGGCTACAGCCTGCTGTGTGGATCCTTGCTCATCCAATGGTGTGAGAGCCTCAGTGTGTGGGCGGGGCTATCAGGCAGCACTATGCCTGGAGCAGAAAACCACTGACTCTGAATTAATAAGAGTAGACAGGAGGGAAGCAAAGCATTGTGGGCATAGCAGCATCTTCAGAGAGTGATGGGTAGATGATGGACAGGAGGAGAGAGGGGTGTAGAGGGGGGGACATTTAGAAGAAGGGTAATAATAAATACAAATATAATAAAAAAGAAAACGCTTGATGGAGAGCAGAATGCAAGCTACGTGCAAAGGCAAGGATGGAGTAATGGTGGTACATAAAAAAAAAAACGTAGGGAGGGGGAGGAGGAGAAAAATGACGAAGGCAGGAATTTGGAAATATAGCAAGGATGGAGAAGCAGGCAGAGGGAGGAGAGGCAATGTGACAAATGTGAGTCCTTCTGGAACAGTCTGGCAGTATATAGTGTGACTGCTGAGTCAGCGGCATTAAGTGACCATCTGAGTGTGTATCTGTGTTTCTATCTACTCTCTCCGTCTCTATTCATCCATCCTCTAACAACCATTACCCTCCCTGCTACTATTCCTGGCTGTGTCCTTTCTCTATCTCTCTCCTCCCACCAGTCTCTGCATCTCTTGTGTTCACTTAATCACAAACAAAGAATTACAGCAAACCATCTTTTATTCATTCGT